CTGTGGTCAGCCAAGAGGAGCTCAACCACGCCGACATGTCCATACAGGGCAGCTAGTCGGATGGCCTCGTTCTCTTTGGCCGCAGGATCGACACTGCGGTCAGCCAGGAGGTCCCTCACCACGTCCACGTGACCATGCTGAGCGGCAAGTCGGATGGCCTCGTTCTCTTTGGCCGCAGGATCGACCCTGAAGTCAGCCAGGAGGTTCCTCACCACGTCCACGTGACCATGCTGAGCAGCCCAACGGATGGCCATGTTGTTCTGTGCAGCAGCATCCACAGCGCAGTAAGAGCGAAGTAGATCTCTCACTGCTGCATGACAATCACAGTTCATGGCACGCACTAGCGGCAGGTTCCCCCGAGCTGAGAAATCTTCGAGAAACCCCCATGACCTGAAGTTAAAGTTATCCGACTCGGCGGCGACAATCTTGCCAACGGAGTCCTTGTAGTCTGGGTTACCCCGCCACTCTTTCATCTTGACGCCACACGCCCGCAACCACGTTGTCCAAGCATCCTCGTCCTCACCAGTCCCAATCTCTTCGATTTCCTCAACCAGGCGGACGAGTCCATCCTTTTCACCTTCAGCCAATCCATGAATCAGTCGCGAGCCCACCACAACACGCACCACGCGCTCGACAGCGGAGCGCAGCTCATCCTTGGTCGCTGGCTCCTCACTATCGTCACCTTCTTCCTCGTCTCCTTGCCTGGCCAGCCCGGACAAATCTATGCCCGACCCACCTGACTGCAGCCGCATGCCGCGTAGCACAACTGCGCCGACGACAAAGGCAAAAAGAGGAAGTGACTCGTCACTCGGCAGCATAATCGAGTCAAGCACGGCAGGGTAGGCCACTATGACCACCGCCACCACTACGGCCATCTCCACGACGGGGAGCACAGCTCCCATTAGCCATCGGCGGTACTCGTTGCGGGCGTGGTCAACGTGTACAGCGTAATGGCGAAAGTGGGACCCTACTAGATTCTCGGACCCGCGGTTGCAAGCTTGGGCCACAGCCAGCACAAGTTGGCCAGAATCGGACTTTGGTCCAACAGCGGCGAAGTCGTGTCTCCGTGGCGGGATTCTGTGGTCGCCATCCGTTCTGCAGCGCTTGAGCAGCATGCCCCTGAAGACCTCGTCGCGACTTGCAAACAATCCCTGCTGCCGCTTGAGCATGAGCGCCACTTCAGCCGCAACACTAATTGCCACCAGAAACTGTAGCGCAAACTGGATTGGTTCGATCATTGAAGCTAAGACCCACCATGGCAGCGCCAAGGCAATTGGCAAGGAGATGAGACAAGCATGGAAACGACCAAGGCCCACGCGGGTTGTTGAGGCCACCCATGACAGGCACGGCCGCATTGTGCCGGTCACGGGTGTACCAAAGGTAGGCAACGCCATCAACATCGCACCCCCCACCGCAGCAGCGAAGACTACGAGAGCATGGAGACGGCTAGCGCCCTCATACACAAAGGCAAGAACAGTTCCCGCCACGACGCAGAAGGAGGTAAATGAAAGAAGAATGGTTGCAGAGTTACTTCGCTTAGGAGCCTTTGATGACAGCAACAAGACCTGTCCTCCGCCAATGGCCAGCGCGGTGACGGCGCACCAAGCAATTGCAAAGTGTGACACCCCCCGCGTAGCATCACCTGCCTCGCTGTTGAGCACCATGAGTGTCCCGAAAAACGCCAGAACCGGAAGCCCACGCGCTTGGGCTACGGCCACATTAATCTGCATATCCTCGTCCGTCTCGAGCGGCACGCGGACCGTGGCCTTGCCAAGCAACGCTAGCACCTCAGGCCAGAACATACCAGCAGCGATGACCACCCCAAAACCGACAATGACCAAGATGGAGCCAAACACCACCGTTGCTCGATCCAGCGAGTGCCAATAGTTGTGGATGGTGAGCCCGTTGTCGCCGCCCCAGGAGAAAAGTGCGCCGCCATCACTCTTGAACAAAAGCGACGACACGCCGTGGTCTTCCAGTCCAGCAAGTAGCGCCAGTGCCCCGAGCCGGCAATCGCGCGCCGTGCACATCGACAAGCGTGTGATGCACAACCGGGCGTCCTCAGAGATCTCCACTTGAAGGTCAATCTCCGACGTCGAGCTCGAGAAGACACCGAACGAGACATCGGAGCCCACAGCGTGCCAAAACCCTAGATTGCGTGCGAGATGTAGGTGCAGCGAGCGAGGAGCCACTGTAAACACCAGCGGTGGCACACCGGTAGATAGCAAGGTGATGCTCGTGACGAGTGATCCAGGAATGATGTCGCCGAGAATGTCGCCCACAAAGCCGTCATCTCCCACAGCGTCGCGGAGCGCCTTGTAGCACGTCTGGTTGGTCAGTGAAACCTCACGGGTATAGATCGGGTTGTTGTATAGTGACTTGTCGAGATCGTCACGATGCGTGAATGTTGGAAGACCGAGACCAAGGAAAAGGATAGCGGCTGCAAGCAGAAGGATGACAAAGGCGGTAAGGCCCGCCATGCAGTTCGGGTGCCGGCTACATGCACTGCCAAAACTTGTTCCAGTACTATCATCACGTTCAGCTGCAGCGGCGATCAGCCGAACCCACGGTTCGAGTGGTGCTTTGTCTCTCACTTCATCGTTCAGTGCGTCCCAAGCCTTCAACCAGTCAGCATCCCCGACATCAATGCCATCCAGTGAAACCTTCCCAGGCCACAGTTCAAGACGCCACTTTCCAAAGTCGTTGAAGAAGTCATGGTCCTGATCACCTTCAACCGGCAATTTTCCAAGCTCGGCGACAGTCTTTCCGTCACGTATGCATCTGGACCTTGGGATGAGATCCTCCAGTTTGGAAAATGAGAGTGTGGTGTTGTTCTTGCACATCACGAGCAGCATCTCGATGGCCAATTCCAGTTCTTTGCCCATTCCATGAGCGGTGGCGGGAAGAAGCTCGCCAAAATCCCCCTTTCGTTTCGGAAGGAGCATGTAGTAGGCAGCCATACTGCAGATTAACCTGTTCTTGTCCTTCTCGTCGATCTCCACCACGGCCACCCGTGATGAAGCACTCGGGCTCGAAGAATCGACGGGGGGTTGATCCCAGCGCCAACCCCCCCTGCCGGCTCCTCATCCACTCTACCGTTCATACGGCAACCACAGCTACAAAGGACCTCTACAACGTATGGGGAACAGTCTTCCCCACAGCTTTATGCAGAGACGAGGTTATGCGAGAAACGACTCCCCCCCCCC